CCCAGACTACAGATGGCAGATCCTATCTAGCCTAATCTACAATGCTGCCGATGACGTCAACAGCTCCCCGAAGTACGAGCAGATCTCAGCCAATGCCGTTCGCCTCAAGCACCAGGTATGTCTCTCGTATCTCTCACAACCTCGATCCCCAACTCACAGATGCCTCGTGTACCCAAGAACCAACATGCTCCCCATCCAGCATACAACAGCTCAGCTCGGCTATGGCTGCCTGCTCCTTCCAGCTCACCCGCGAGCGAGTGAGCGCTGGCCAGCCTTAGCGCAACATGCAGCCAGTGCCCGAATGTCCAATGCGTGGGCAGGCCCTTCCCTATATCGAAGTGGCCTGCTGCTGCATGCGGTATGCGGTACTGGGCCCCGTCCCAGAAGCTTCCAGTAGGCCCCACGAGGCTGAGCCTCAGTCCAAAGAAAACAGGCCCAGGGCCTGTGGTGGTTACCAGCGCCCAACTGCCCTCAGCCTTTGTTCCGGTCCATGTTGTGTATCCGGCCCAGGGCCTGCCTCGGTTACATACGATGAAAGGCAGCCTGGGCCTGGGCGCTTCCAACCAACTGGCGCTGCACAACTGCCTGAATTTTCCCCAGTTGCGTAGTAGTCCAAAGTAAGCCTCGGTGGGGCCTGCCTTCACTTAGGGCGACCGCCCTTGCTAATAACAAGGCCCAGTGGGGCTTATTGAGGCCTTGTGCCTCGCATTCCCTCCTCCATTGTTGCTAGTCCTCTGAGAAGTTCATTCAATCTGGCGCTCTCCTTTCTGTAGCAACTTCTCATAGTGTGCAACAACCTGCGGTGCGGTCTGCATCAATTCCTCCCGTGTGAACCATCTATCCTCCTTTGGATCAGTGTGATGTCTGAACCGAACTCGGTACTGCAGCTTCGACTTCGGAGGACGTCCCCTTCTTGTCGGTCTTGGAACCGACATTTCTCTATGATCCACGATGTTGTCGATGTCGACCTCTCCATCCATGGTTGGCGGCAACATTGAGCGATGAGAAGGAAACTGATTAGTTCCCTCGAAAGGTGCGAGCTTGGAGGCGTGGAAGACTGGGTAAGTGCGGAGGTGACCAGGTATCTGAACTACATATGAAGGCCCGTTCGGATCCTCCCCAACGATGTCTAGAACCTCCCTGGGTCCAAAGTACTGTGGCATAAGCTTGTGGGAGATCCAGTGCTCCTGACCCAGTTCCGAGACTTAACCTAGACTTTGTCCCCTACCTGGAATGTAGATGGGCGGTGCAACATTCGGCTGGTTCTTAGGTAAGAGGAAGTCCAGGGGTTGTCTAGGTTTGAAAGTCAGTAGCAAACTGTTAGGGCTCACCCCAGTGGCGCTGTGCGCAGCGTTGTTGTACGGCTGGCGATGAGAGCAAGTTTCTCATCCCAGTCCACCTGATTGGGCTTGATGTAGTGCCGCAACAGGTGTTGTACAACGCGGTTCAGTTGCTCCGCTTTGCTCCGCTTGGCCATTTGCCTCTGGGTGGTTCCCGGAGGTCATCTGCAGCTGTTTACCCTGTTCTGCAGCTGCAGCCTTCCACAACTCACTTGTGAATCTGATATCCCTGTCACTAACAATAGACTTAGGAATCCCAAAGTCCCTGGCCCAATTCTCCTTGAACAGTCTAATCACATACTTCGTTTTAGCTGTTGCAGGCATAGCGACTAACCTAGCATACTTACTAAACCTATCCACAATGACATAGACATAGCGCATTCCACTCTTGCTGGTGACCAGTGTGTCCATGAAATCCATGGACATGCTCTCACCGGGCCTTTCCGGAATCGGAAGGGGCTTAAGAAGCCCAAGAGGGGCCTGTGTACGTGGCTTGTCTCTCTGACATACCCGACAGGTCTCCTTTCACAGCTTGGCTTCTCTCATCATTGTGGGCCACCAGAACTGCTGCAGCAAGTTGGCTGCAGTCTTTTTATAACCAAAATGTCATGTGGCATCATGACACTCACCTAGAAATAAACTACGCAAAGACTCTCGATTAGGCACACACAAACGTTTATTCCCGGCCTTCTCAAGGAACAGCAGACCATTGACCAAGTCAAACTCGGCAGAAGTCGCTTTGTCCTTCGCCTCAAGTCTGCGTATGATCTCAGCCATAAACGGATCCTCGCGATAGGCTTCCACCAAAGAGCGAGTGACATCGTCCGCAAGCCCGAACTCAGTGACCAACGCACCAGAGAAATCAGGTCTACGTGATAAGGCATCAACAACTTTATTGTACTCCCCCTTCAGGTACTGGGGTTCGAAGTCATATTGTTCAATGACTTCGATCCAGCGCTTAAGGCATCAGAGAGCAGTGGTTGGGTTCTCATCCACTTCAGGGTCTGATGATCAGTCCCGACGATGAAGAATCTCCCGAGGAGGTAATGTCTCTAATGGGTCAGTGCCTTGTAAATCACGTAGAGCTTTTTCTCATAGGTGGACTTAGCCAACTTATGAGAAGGCATCTTTTTGGACATGTACTTGACTGGCCTCAACTTTGGCCCCTCTTGCTGCACGAGCACGGCGCCTATGCCATATTGGCTAGCATCCGTGGTTGCTATAAACGGCTTGTCACGATCAGGAAGTTTCAAGACCTCATGATGCGTCAGCGCATGCTTCAAATGTTTGAAAGCAGCCTCGCACCTATTTGTCCACTCCCATGGGGTGTCAAGGCGAGTCAGGTCCGTCAAAGGGGTGACAACTGTGCTATAGTTCTTCACAAAATTGCGATGGTAGCCGGTCATCCCAGTCACGAATGCTGGCCACCTTCGTGCCATCGGGCTTCAATCCCTCTGCGGAAATCTCATGACCCAAGTACAAGATACGGGTGCGGCCAAATTCGCACTTCTCGCCGTTGATCTTGAACGTGTGCTGCCTGAGGAGACTAAGGACTTTGTTTAAGTGGGCTACATGCTCCTCGACAGACTTACTGAAGATAAGTATGTCATCAAGGTACATGATGACAAACTTGTCCAAGTAGTCATGAAAGATCATGTTCATCACGTGCTGAAAGGTGCCAGAGCATTGCAAACGCCGAAAGGCATCACCACAAACTCGTACAGACCGTGCCTGGTCTGAAATGCGGTTTTGTGTTGATCCTCGGGCCGTATTGCAATCTGATGGTACCCAAACTTCAGATCTATATTACTGAAGTACCTACACCCTTGCACTCGGTCCAACAAGTCATCGATGCGCGGTAGGGGCTGTCGGTTCTTGACAGTGATGGCATTGAAGCCCCTATAGTCAATGCACATCCTCAGAGTTCCCCCCTTCTTCGGTATAAATAGGACTGGAGATCCATAAGGGGAGACACTCGGCCGGATCCAACCCTTCTCTACGAGTTTCTTAAGTTGTCGGCGGAGCTCATCAAGCTCGCCTGGAGACATCCGATAGATCCTACCCTTCAGGATGCTAGACCCTGGGATAATCTCTATCGCGTGGACGACCTCCCTCTCTACAACCCCTTTTGGCTCTTCAAGTAGATCAGGGTATTTAGCGACTACTCCCTCTATCTCCGGCGGCATGTTCACCGGCTCGCGTGCTGCAGAGACATAGACTAGATACATACCCTCCTCTGGATTTTGCTTATAATAGTTGTAAAACGCGGCCGCACACATGCAACGATAGGACTCGATCAGACTAATAGCCTTAAACTTACGTAATTTGGCGGTCCCCCCACCGGGCACAGTGTGCTTGACCACTTTTCGGTCCCAATCAAATTGGGGCTGTGCAACCGAGAGGTAGTACATACCTAACAAGATGTCCATAGGGAGATCATGACTAACAAGGAACGAGACGCGATGTCTTAGTTCCCCTCCCGCGTACGGGAAAAGACACTTAACGTCCTGAAGGTAGTCGTTGACTAGCATGCGCTGTTTGTTGGCACAGGTCGACTCCACAGGTCGACTCAGGCGCTGCACTGCCCCTGTAAGCGCAGCCTCTCAATGCACGTGCGACTGATAAAATTACGCGTCGAGCAAGTATCATGATAGGCTCTGGCCTTGCGGCCGCCGATGACTACCTCGCCGACGAACATCTCTCCCTTAGGGGCTTTAGCCAATGCCGTCCAAGAAGCTAGCGGGTCTGATTTAGACCACTCCTCCTGTAGCTCCTCTAAGGACTCAAACACATTCAACGAACAGAGGGTTGCTGGGTCCGAATGTGTTTGCGGGACGACGATGGAGTCAGTAGCTTGGGCCATCTCTCAAGACGGTGAGGGTGTGTCCACCACCTCGACCCTAGCAGGAACAACTACTATTCCTACTGGCCCGACGCGTTTCCCAGAGCAGTGCCAGAACTGCTGGCCACATTGCTACCAACGGGAGCGGAGGATCCCAACGCCTGCCCCATTGTAGGCGGGATTTTCTCGGTCACCTTCTTATTACGACACTTGAACAAGCCTGCCGGGTGTACCGGTCTCTCCACACGTCCTGTGTTAGACCCGCTTTCTCCCATGGAGGAGCGTTGGGGTCAACTTGACTCCTAGACCGGGAGCCTCCACGGCGTCTACCTATCGCCTTACCTTTATGTATTGAGGCAGCGACTACTCCACCCCCAGAAGTTTCTACGTTGCCCGCCTCTGTACCTACTCCCTCTTGGAAGTTGTCATCTAACTCGATGGTTGAACCATCGTTATCGACAAACATAATACGGCCTTTGGCCTTCTAGTTGGGAGGCAGTGACGTTTTCCTACGATCGGTCGTGGGTGTTTGTCCATGCCCTATCTTTGCTTTTAGGTCTAGGGCCTTCTTGCTGAACGAGGGGAAGTTGTGCATGTTTATGTTGGCTCACCTGCCAACTGATTCATGAGAGGCATAAAAAAACATCTCAAGTAGGAGGTGAGTAATACGTGGGGGTCATAGCGCACTCCAGGGACACAGATCAGACGCTCTACTGCGTTTGTGGCCTCTCTTACTGACTTGAACTGTCTATGTTCAGAGTCAGGATCGCGTTAGTGGCTTTTTGAGCCTCCTGAGGATCATCCTGTCTTCCACCAGCTTGAGGAAATCATCCAATTTCTGGTTGACTGCCCAAGCGCGGAAGTCATGATCGTATCCCTGTAACTGCACTAAACCACTCAACCATCTTGCTGCACTCCCCTCTAAATAGGAGG